AGGGGAACGAGGAGAAGGATGATAAAAACGAGGAGGCGGAGGAGGGGAACAATGATGAAGAGAAGGATGATAATGAGGAGAAGGAAGGAGTCGGAAGAAGGGGGGCATGAGGGAAAAATGGGGAGGAGGAGGAGGACAGGAGGACGAACACTATCCTGGTGACCTGCAAGGACACGCACCAACCCCGCCTCAGGAAGAATGTCATGCTGGAAGAATCCCACCAACCGTCCGGGCGGAGGTGGTCCAGAGCGTTTCCTCTGCCAACTCCGCTCTTCTTTTTCGGGGAGGTGTTGATCACTGTTTCTTGATAATAAACACACCATCCCCCAGGCGACCGGCAGCGAACCAGGACCAATAATGGCACCCCCCACACCATCCATGCCAAACAATAACTCAAATTCCACTTTGGGGGAAAGTCTTGTGTCACGATCGGGGTGGCAGTGAGCACTTGGTATTGATTCTTTGACAGGGACGGCAGGGGTGCCCGCATATTGCCTGCTGCGCGTGGGGCCAGAATCCACGTCAAAAAACATTACAACATGCACGTCGAAGCAAAACCTTGATCAAGGGTGGTGGGGGCCGACACGTTTCCCCATGTGTACGTGCGCAAACGCATCTGGCACACACTGCGCGTGCCCCGATCGTGGCGCACCTGGCGCGGCTGGAGCATGCGGCACACATGACGCACGTGGATCACGTGGTGGACCTGGCGCACCAGTCGTGCCCAGCACGCTTGGGCAACAAGGGTGCCTGGCGCACTTGGCACGCGTGGAGCGCGTGGCCCGCTTCTCCCCAGCGTTGCGCACATGGGGTGTTCATCCAAAAACTACCGCTGAACACGCCGCAGCTCGGGTGCTACTTATGTGTTGGGAAGGCGGGCGGGAAGGAGCGAGACGGCTTGAGGGCGGGGGGGTGTCTTCACCCTTCCCCCATACCCCTTCCCTTGGACCTGCACGCGGGTGGGGGCAGCGGGCCGTTGGAACCCCCACGCCCCTCCACCCTGAAAGAAAGATCTACACCGGCGAAGAGGACCATTCAACGGCCGAACCGTGTCTACACTGGCCACCCTCGGTGACCCACTCCGAAACTGCACCTTTCATTGGCGGAATGTTGTTTCACCAGCTATGTGACAACCCGCTTCCGAACCTCCGCGAAACCTCGTCTCATATCCGGCCCACGCTGCACTGGGGAACCCTTGAAAGCTCAACTGACGGACCGTGGAGGCTCCGGATCCTGACGGATCCTGAACGACACTGGCAATTTTTCTCATCATCGTCAGCATCACCATCATCACCGCCATTCCCACAATCATCATCACCATCGCCGTCGTCGTCACCGTTAACGTCATCTGCGCCACCATCGCCATCGCCATCATCATCACAATCGTAATCACCCTCACCCCCATCCGCTTCGTCATCTCCGTCATCATCATCACCATCACCATGACCATCACCATCATCATCATCATCATCATCATCACCATCACCATCACCATCACCATCACCATCACCATCACCATCATCATCATCATCATCAGCAGCAGCAACATCATCATCATCATCATCATCATCATCATCATCATCATCATCATCATCATCATCATCATCATCATCATCATCATCATCATCATCATCATCGTCATCGTCATCGTCATCGTCATCGTCACCGCCACCACCACCACCATCGTCACCATCACAGCCACCACCGGCTGTCCCAACTGGTCAGTGCACTGGCCAGGTTTGTCCTGACGCCAGCTGGTCAAACGAATGATGAACCGTTCAGATTTCAGACTTTCAGCGCGCAGACTTGCGTGCCACAGCGTTCTCCGCTCCGCAACGACGAGCGCTACTTTGCTTCGTGGAACGCCTCCGGCTGGAGAGCAGGCCCCCTCGGCCCGTGACGCCGCGCGGCCTGCGCCAGTGTGAGGTCCGCTGGTGCAGACCCCCATAACCCCACCCCCCCTCCATTCTCCCCCCTCCACCTCCCCCTTCCCCCCCTTCCATCTCCCCCCTTCCATCCCCCCCACCTCCCGCCGCCTCCTCCCCCTCCCCTTCCACCACCCTCTCCACCCCCCTGCCCGCCCCCACTGGAGTCTCCACGGATCCTCGAGGAAGCTCTGGGTTCACCCGTGTCGCCCCCTCACCTTGCGCAGCTTGGTTTCCTCCCTCATCTAACCTCCCTCTCTGCCTCCTCCTGCTCGTCCTTCCGCTCAACCTCCGCCGGCACGGGGATCGCCAGAAGAAGAGAAGTCATGCGTTCGTTCGCGTCGTCACCTCCACCGTCTGCTGCGAGAGCGCCCCCGCTTACTCAATCCTACGCGCTCCGACGTCATGCCTCATTGACTGCGGCGGTCGTGGCGCCATCGCTCGCAATGGCAATAACGAATCCTGGCAGCCCTTCAGGGCGTGAGTGGTTTAGCGAGTTTCCTCTGCCAACTTCTGTTCTTCCCCTTCGGGGAAGGGTTTCTCCCTCCCCCTGCCCCTTCCGCTGGGAGTGGAGGGGGGGGCGGCGCGAGGTGTCAGAGCGTCCAAGAAGGCCATCGCTAGAAAACAACAATCACTGATGTTCCTAAGGCTTTAGGCCAATGGCGCCTCCTGGGGCAGGGCTAACTGACGACCCTCCTGTATGTGATCGAACTCCTCCCAGATGGCCCCAAGATGGCGTCCAAGGCTCCCCAGAGTGCCCTGACCAGGTCCAAGGAGGCGCCGAGGAGGCCCCAAGACACCCCGAAAATGTCCCAAGAGGCCCCAAGGGGACCCCCAAGAAACCCCAAGAGGCCCCAAGCGGCTTCCCGATCCCCCCAAGATGCTCCAAGTGGCCACCGGCACCGCTAAGAGGTCCCCAAGACGCCCCAGAAGGACGCCAAGAAGCTTTCGAGAGCCATCCGAAGGGACTCCGAGAAACATCCAAAGAGTCTCTTGTCTTTCTGCTCGCCCTCCTCCTCCTCCTCCTTCTCCTCCTCATGATCATGATCCTCCTCATCATCCCCCTATTCCCTCTCCTGATCCTCCCTCCACCCTCCTTCCTCCTCTCCCTCCCCCTCCCCCATCCCTCTCCCCTTCCTCCACCTGCTCCTCCGATTCCTGCTCAATCCTCCCCCGCCTGGAGTATGACGGCTTCCCCACCACTTTATTCCACTACATGTTCCTCCACATCCCTGATCAAGGCAACTCGCCTGGGCATCATTCCTGGATGGGCTGGTGTTTTTTTGTTCGCGAGCGCAAGCGGAAGGGCCGCGCGCCGTCCAAAGCTACAGCTAATAAGCAGGAGCCTAAATTGCACACGAGGGAGAGAGGAACAGAGCAAGAGAACAGCGGGGAGCTGGTGTGATACGCGAAGCGTCTAAAATACGGGGCGTATAGGGACAAGAAGAAAGGGCAGAGCAGATATGCAGGGGCAGGAGGGGGAGCTGAAGGGGATGGATGAGGAAGAGGAGGAGTGCTCGAGGATGCCTTCTCAGTCTCCAATTCCCCTTACTCTTCCTGCTATTTCCTACTTATCCCTGGCTCCACCTATCCCTGCCCGTCTCTTCATCCACCTCCTGCTTGCCAAACACCTTCGCCTTTCCTTCTACTCATTCACCTTCTACTCATTCACCTCCTTCCATCCTTCCCCCTACTCTCCTCCCTTCCTTCTCCTCCTTCTTCGCTCCATTCCCCCTTCGTTCCTCCTCCACCCCATCCTCCTCCTCCTCCTCCTCCTCCTCCTCCTCCTCCTCCTCCTCCTCCTGCTCCTCCTCCTCCTCCTCCTGCCTCCTCTCCCTCCCTTCTGCCCGCGAAGCGCATGTCGCTTCGCGACTGGGCCTGCACGAGGTCCTCCAGCAACTGAGACAGCATCTGGCGCGCGCGGAGGGGACGCTTCGGACCCCCCCGCACCCCTCCTCCTCCGCTCCCCTCCCCTCCCTCCTCCTCCTCCTCCTCCTCCTCCTCCTCCTCCTCCTCCTCCTCCTCCTCCTCCTCCTCACCCTTCTCCTCCCCTCATCTTTCGTCGTGCGCAGCTGCGGTGGCCACGTCTTCATCCTCCCTTTCCTCCCTTCCTCCTCCTCCTCCTCCTCCTCTCTCCTCCTCCTCCTCCGCCTCCTCCTCCTCTTCCTACTCCTCCCCATCCTTCTCCTCCTCCTCCTCCTCCTCCTTCTCCTCCTCCCTTCCCCCGTCTTCGCCTGTCTCCCTTTCCGGCCCGATCCGCTGCAGGCTCCCCGCCCCGACGCCCTCCAGGCTCGCGGGGCTGGTGGTCCGCCCGCCGCCCTCTCCTTCCGTCCTCCTCCTCCTCCTCCTCCTCCTCCTCCTCCTCCTCCTCTCTCCTCCTCCTCCTCCTCCTCCTCCTCCTCCCCCTCCCCCTTCTCCTCCTCCTCCTTCTCCTCCTCCCTTCCCTCGTCTTCGCCTGTCTCCCTTTCCGGCCCGATCCGCTGCAGGCTCCCCGCCCCGACGCCCTCCAGGCTCGCGGGGCTGGTGGTCCGCCCGCCGCCCTCTCCTTCCGTCCTCCTCCTCCTCCTCCTCCTCCTCCTCCTTTCCTCCTCCTCCTCCCCCTCCTTCTCCCCCTCGCTTCTCCTCATCCCTTTCCCGTCTTCGCCTGTCTCCTTTCCGGCCGATCCGCTGCAGCTCCCGCCCCGACGCACTCCAGATTCGCGGGGCTGTGGGTCCGCCCGCCGGCCCTCTCCTTCCGTCCTCCCCTCCTCCTTCCTCCTCCTCCTCCCTCCTCCTCCTCGTCCCCATCCTCATCCTCCTCGTCCTCCTCCTCCCTCCTCTTTCTCCTCCTCCTCCCCTCCTCCTCCTCCCTCCTCCTCCTCATCCCCGCCTCCTCGTCTCTCCTCCTCCTCTCTCCTCCTCTCCTCCTGAATCCTCCTCCTCCTCCTGTCCCTCCTCGCCTCCTCCTCCTCCTCCTCCTCGTCCTCCTCGCTGCCCTCGTCCCTCCTCCAACCTAACTCCTCCTCCTCCTCCTCCTCCTTCCTCCTCGTCCTTCCGCCTCCTCCTCCTCATTCTCCCCGTCCCTCCTCCTCCTCCTCCTCCTCCTCCTCCTCCACTTTTCTCTCATGCAGGCCGCGGGGCGCGCACCCCCGTGGCCTCTCGGCAGCCGCCCGACCAAAACCAGCAGGCGGAGGGAGGGGCAGCCTCTCGAGCACGCCGCCAGAGGCCGCTGGAGGCCAGCCCGTGCGCTCGAGCGGGCGAGGACCCAGACCCCCTCGCGCTGTGAAAAACCTCACGACGGGCGGCTTCTCGCTACTTTCGGCCTCCGGGGGCCCCTCCCGGAGGCTACACACACACGCAGGAGCGACCCTGGGGAAGAGTGACCGTTGGTGCGCGACTTTTCGGGGGCCGCGGGGGGACCAGACCTGGGCGCGCAAGCAGCTGCTACTGCCTCGCTTGTAGCCATCCGGGGGCCCATCTGTGCCCGCACCACCAGGTCACTCCGGCGAAAGGTCACTCTTGCGTCCGGTCGATTGGTCCCGGGCCTCGGGAGCGGCAAAAGAGGACTCAGGAGGAAGAGCCGGTCCTGGGGAAGGGGTCCAGACTTCTGGGGGTGGACCTCGCGAACGGAATCGCGGCGTCGGGGGTCTGGGGGCGAGGGTGCGGCGGCGGGCCCCTCCCACGTGGCCGATTCCGGCAGCCCCAAACCCAGACGTGTTATCATCTCTTGGGAGCTCGACTCTTACTTTCGCCGCCTTCCACTAAGCTCCCGCCCGCTTCCGCAGGCCGAGGCGGCCTCGTTCTCCCTCCGCCGCTTTCCGCCGAGCTTCCGCCGCGGAAGAGAGGACAACGCCTTCGATCCTCGAAGGCAAGGCCCTTTATGCATGCCTCCAGCACCTCTGGCCCAGCTTCAACTGCCCCGATACGCAACACGCAACACGCAGCGTTTTGATACGGAACTCAGCACGCAGACTGAAGACGTATGTCTGACGCGCGACACGTTCGCCAAAACGTTGGCCAATGCGTTGAGCCAAGACGCAACGTATTGACGCGAGTTTTGAGCACCGTGCGTGACGCGTATGAGAATGGGCGTATCGAGGCAGCTCAGCCTCTGACGCATCCCACCACCTCCAAAGCAATCAAGAAGATAGACAAGGAGAGTGAGAGCGACTGACCAGCTGCTCCAACCAATTCGTACCAAGAGGGAGGGGGTCACAACCCTCCCAGACGAAGAGTTTTAGACCCCCCAGAACAGCCATGAATGGGCGGCCTTTTGCCCAGACCCCGCGGAACCCTCCAAGGCAACCCCAAGCAGACCCCCCACCCCCAAATCAGACCATCCCTCTTCTACTGTGAAATCTGTCGGAGCAGCCTTCAACAAAAACTCACAATAAACCTCCCACAAGAAACCCAAACCTGAGACCCCAGGACTTTCACAGCAAAACCATCGAAACCCAAGAAACCCAGGGCACCCTGGAGGCAAGCAGGGTTTCTCTTGGCGAGAAGAACAAAAACGGCATACACATAAACTTTTGGTGCTCCGTGCGGATGTTTTGGATCTGCGCTGGGCCCCCCTCCCTGGCGCGCGGAACGCGCTGGGGGCGGCGCCGGAGGCGCCGCCGGGGCGGCCCCAGCGCGGATCCGAGGAAGCCGCGCGGAGCGCCGGAAGTTTATGTTTATGGCGTCGTTTCTTCTTCTTCTTCTTCGAATATTTCTTGGCATGGGTTTCCACCGTCTTGTAAAATCCAGAGTCGCCGCTTTGCCGGCCGAAGGCCAGGCTGAAGCAGCGCGCGTGCTTGAGGCCTCCGTCGGGCCAGCGCCCTCGCGGCAGTTGCCGACGGGCACGCGGCATGCTTGCAGCGGCTCCACGGGCTCGGCGGTGGGAGCCGCGAGACAGGACATGCAGCGGGAGGAGGAGGAGGAGGAGGAGGAGGAGGAGGAGGAGGAGGAGGAGGAGGAGGGGGAGGAGGAGGAGGAAGAGAAGGAAGAGGAGGAGGAGGAGGAGGAGGAGGAGGAGGAGGAGGAGGAGGAGGAGGAGGAGGAGGAGGAGGAGGAGGAGGATGGCGGACAGGATAATCTCCCCACCACCCTGAGCTCCTCCTCCGAGCCTCCTCCCGAGCTCCTCCGTCGCCACCTCCCCAATCGAGGGTGGGCAGGGAGGGCGAGGGCGACCGCGCGCGGCACGCGGAACGCCGAGGCCCGGAGCAAGCTGCGCCTGGGGGAGCAGCTGCGCGTGGGGGCCTGCTGGCCTGCTGGGTGACGCCTGGAATCATTTCACTCCTTGCCGCTTTCGCCCCCAGGGGCCCGCGCATGGCGCTGCCAGGGACGGAGCCGCCCGCCGATCAGGAGGGGGAAGGGAATCGGAACCTCCCCGGCCATTTCTGTTCCTGAGAGTCCCTCCCCCGAGCTATATAACGGCATGCGGATGACAGTAGCCCTGGTCGCAAGACCAGACTGCCAGACGAGCCAAGCGACGTACGGGCCCCCGACCTGCGTCAATGGCGCTCATTACGATCGGCATCACCACCTGGGCCGCCTTGAGGGCGGAGGAGAGACAGGTCTGGGGCAGCTGCAGCTGCTGCAACCTTCCTGCCGTGCGCATCTTGCGGATGTTGCCAAGCCACTGTGCAACCGACTGCGACGGCCGCCACCGCACCAGAGCCGCATCCGTCAAACCTCATTGCGCGTGCAGCAACCCTCCCGCGCCAAACTCCTCCTCCCTCTTCCTCCTGCTCCAGTGCCAAACTCCTCCTCCCTCTTCCTCCTGCTCCTCCCTCCGCCTCCCTCCTTCCTCCTTCCCTCCTCCTCCTCCTCCTCCCCCTCCTCCTGGTCCTCCTCCCCCTCCGCCCGCCCAGTCCCGCCGAGCTGGCTGATTCCCGAAGCAGAGGCTTCCTAGATGGGATTCGAACAGGTGGGGTCGGCGGATCGCGCCGCATCAGCGATGCGTTGGCGACGTCAGCGATGCATGGGTGCCGTCGGCGTGGAGAAACTCGGGCTCCACATCGAGCCGCCTTGGCGGCGATGCGGCGCGATCCTCCGACCCCGTCTGCTCGGACACCATCTTGGAGGCCTCTACTTCGGGAGTCAGCCAGCGACGCTGCGCGGGAGGAGGACCACGAGGAGGCACGGAGAGAAGAGGGAGGGAGGCAGGGGGGGAAAAAGGAGGGAGGAGAGAGGGAGGGAGGAAGAGAAAGGGGGGGGGAGGGAGGGGGGCGAGAGGGGACCGGCAGGGAGGGAGGACCAGGAGGGAGGGAGGGAGGCCTGCACCGAGGCGGGGAGGCGGGGGGCCCCCCGCGGCTCCGCGGCGCGCCTGCGCCGAGGGCGCGGCGGGCGGGCGCACAGCCCCCGCCACGCCAGGAGAGCTCTCGCTCGCGCGGCGCGCGCGGCGGCCGGGCCCCCGACGGGGCCCTCGCGGCCCCCTCGGGGGTGCCCAGTCTCCTCGCGCCGCCAGGGGCCTCCTGGGCGGGGTCGGAGTAGGTGGGGTCGGGCGGTCGCGCCGCATCGCCGGCGCATCGGCGATGCACCGGCGATGCATCGGCGATGCGCCGCCGATGCATCGTCGACGTCGGCGATGCGCCAGCGACGTCGACGTGAAGCAAATCGGGCTCCACATAGAGCCGCATCGGCGATGCATCGGCGATGTGGCACGATCCTCGGACCCCATGTATTCCGATCCCATATGGGAGGACCACAAAAATCATGAGGGGAGGCTCTTCGCTGGTCTTGGCCTCCGGGCCGGCAACAGAACGACTCGGGATGAACAACTGTTCCTCGCTCCTCGCTCCTCGCTCCTCCTCTTCTTCCTCTTCTTCCTCTTCTTCCTCTTATTCCTCTTCCTCCTCCTCCCCGTCCTCCTCCTCCTCCTCCTCCTCCTCCTCCTCCTCCTCCTCTTCCTGCTCATCCTCCTCCTCTCCTTCCTCTTCCTCCTTTTACTCTCGGGGTCGACGCTTTGGACAAATCGCGACGTCGGGGGTCTGGCTGTTGCGGCTGGCGCGGGGGGCACGGCGCGGCCCATGCAGAGACGGGGGAAATTCGCCCCGGCTCGCCCTCGGCGGGGAACTTCTTTGGAGGGCGCGTCGCCCTGGCGGCCCGGCCGACAAGCTGTGCCCCGCGAGCGGATTGCGTGTCGGGCTCAGAACAGCTCGGGACGTTGACGTGGGGGGACTGGAAGTGGATAGCGCGTCGCACCGCATCGGAATGGGCCAGAGCTGGACATTCCTGACCATGACGGTGGCCGTGCTGGGGTTGCTGGGGACGCCTGTCTGGGTGGGGGTCCCACGGGGTTCTGTGAATCTGCGTGGCAGGGCGCGGGCCCGAAGACATGACGACTTGCGGAGACATTGGTCAGGGACTTGGCTCGAACCAGCTTCAACTGGGGCTCTCATTCGAATCTCTGCACGCGGGTCAGAAGAAGTCAGCTTTGACGACCCCGTCGTGCTCAGAGAGCTCTGCTTGCGCCTCGCACAACCAAACTTGCTAATTGTGTGACCACCTTTCCCTCTCCCTCCCCCTTCCCCCCCTCCTCCTCCTCCTCCTCCTCCTCGTCCTCCTCCTCCTCCTCCTCCTCCTCCTCCTCCTCTTCCTCCTCCTCCTCCTCCTCCTCGTCCTGCTCTTCCTCATGCTCATGCTCCTCCTCCTCCTCCTCCTCCTCCTCCTCGACGCTGCCCAGGAGCGCAGCAAGTCTTGTTGCGCCCACTCGTGGGGGGAGGGGGGCGGAGCCAGACGCCCAGCCCCGCGACCTCGACGCCCAGCGACACCCTGGAGCCAGGTGCCGCACCCTCTTGGCGGGGCACGAGGGGGAGAGAAGGAGGAGGAGGAGAAGGAGGAGGAGGAGGATGCGGAGGAGGAGGAGGAGGAGGAGGAGGAGGAGGAGGAGGAGGAGGCGCCAGGCTCACCACGCAGATCGTGGTGAGCACCACCAGCCCGCCGAAGGCGGGCGGCCCCCATGCCTCCCTGGCTCTACAAGCACCAGGGGACACAGGTGCCCCACGTCGCCGTGCGGGGCATACGGCGCGTGCCTCGGGAGCCCCGACGTGCCGCCCACACGTCGAGGTGCCCTCCCGGGGGCCTCCTCCTTCGCCTCTTTTTCTTCTGTCTCGCTCTCTCTCTCATTCTCTCTCCCCTCCTCCCCCCCCTCCTCCGCCCGATTTCTCCCCGCTCCCTCCTCCTCGCTTTCCTTTTCTTGCTTCCCCTTTCCTCCTCCTCCTCCTCCTCCTCGTCCTCCTCCTCCTCCTTCTTCTCTTCCTGTCTCTCCTTCCCCTCCTCGCTTCCACCCTCTCCTTCTCGCTGTCCTCCCCCCTGCCCCCCGCCGCGAGGGGCGGCCGAGGCGCGCGGTGCCTTCAGCGCCGCCTCCACCGCCGTCATCTCGACCTGGCGGCGCGCAGATGAAACTCCAGCGATTCAGCCCCCCTGGCCGTCCTCGCCGCCGCCGCCGTCGTTGAGGGCGGGGTGGGGGAGCAGATAGGGAGGGGGGGGGGGGACCGGCTTTAGGTCGGGCACGTCCTTTTACAGGGGGATTGGGACGAAAATTTAAAAATAATATTCACACGTGCTCAAAACTGGCTGAGCAAATGCTAGGACAATCGTCCCCTGACTCGTGTTTGATGTTTTTGGGTATTCGTCCTGTAGAGGGACGTAGCCCGGCTTACGACTGGCTCGGGCGGGTGCCGCGGGCCAGCCTGGCCTCGCGGCTGGGTTGAGCAGGGACCGACCGTCCTGGCATTCCTCTAGAGGCCGACCACGAACATGTTCTTAGGACCTAGCAACGTTCTAAGATCAGAAAGCACGGTTCTGAGAACAGTAAGCCCGATGCGCTAAAACACGACAGTGTCAGCCAGAAATATTCTGAGAACATGCCGTGCAAACCAACAAGGGTTGTGATCACATTCTTTGGTGGGCACCTGGGCAAACCAGGACGCTTCGCCACTTCTTGGCTGGGGTCTTCGCGCTGCCCACGCTGCAGCAGGAGGCGCAGGCGGGCCGCGTACCTCCGTGCGCGCGCTGCGAGACGTGCTGGCTCGCCAGGAACTGCTGGATCCGCTCGTGGGCGGTGGCGTGTGGCGAGAGCTCCCGCGCCTGCTCCTCGCGCCCCTCCTCGTCGACGTCGGCGAGGGTAGTCGCTAATATTCGGTGACTCTGGAAGACAAAGAACAAATAGTCGACCAACAAATCAAACATTGTCAAACCCAGGCCCCCCAAAGACAAATAGTCTGCAGACTACTTGTTGACTATGTTTGAATATTTCTCCTGTAGAGGGACATGTCCGACCGACGGCCAGTTGCCCCTCAGATGCATGAGGAGATGCGCCCGAGAACCAGCTGGTGCGGTCGTGGTCCTTGGCAAGAGGAGGCAACTTCTCATGGGGGGTGACTCTCGGGACCGCGTACCCCGCACGAGCCTCGTGCCATTCCCCATCGCCGTGCCCTGCGGGCGGCAACGGGGGCGACCCGCCCGCGTGTCGACCAGACTCCCGTGCCGAAGGGTCGCATGGAGTTCCGCTGCCGCTCGCGCCCGCTTCTCCCCTGCCGGCGCTTGCGCCGGTATCACCCCCCATCTCTTCCTGCGCGCCCGCGGGGGCGACACCTGCAGGAGGAGGAGGAGGAGGAGGAGGACGACGAGGAGGAGGAGGACGAGGAGGAGGAGGAGGAGGACGAGGAGAAAGAGAAGGAGGCTGGAGGAGGAGGAGGAGGAGGAGGAGGAGGATGAGGAGGAGGACGAGGAGGAGGAGAAATGAGGCTGGAGGAGGAGGAGGAGGAGGAGGAGGAGAAGGAGGAGGAGGATGAGGAGAAGGAAGAGGAGTGGGAGGAGGAGGAGGAGGAGGGAGGAGGAGGAGGAGGAGGAGGAGGAGGCGGAGAGGAGGAGGAGGCGGACGAGGAGAAAAAGAGAAGGAGGCTGGAGAAGGAGGAGGAGGAGGAGGAGGGGGAAGAGGAGGAGAAGGAAGAGGAGTGGGAGGAGAAGGAGGAGGAGGAGGAGGAGGAGGGGAGGAGGAGGAGGAGGAGAAGGAAGAGGAGTGGGAGGAGGATGAGGAGGAGGAGGAGGAGGAGGAGGAGGAGGATGAGGATGAGAGGGAGGAGGAGGAGGGGAGAGGAGGTGAAGGTGGAGGAGGATGAGGAGGAGGAGGCGGAGGAGAAGGAGAGGAGGAGGAGGCGGAGGCTGGAGGAGGAGGAGGAGGAGGAGGAGGAGGAGGAGGGGAGAGGAGGAGGCTGGAAGAGGAGGAGGAGGAGGAGGAGGAGGAGGAGGAGGAGGAGGCTGGAGGAGGAGGAGGAGGAGGCGGTGGAGGAGGAGGAACCGAGGACGAGGAGAGGAGGAGGAGGAGGAGGAGGAGGAGGAGGAGGAGGAGGAGGAGGAGGAGGCTGGAGGAGGAGGAGGAGAGGAGGAGGAGGAGGAGGAGGAGGAGGAGGCTGGAGGAGAAGGAGGAGGAGGAGGAGGAGGAGGAGGAGGCGGCTGGAGGCGGAGGAGAACGAGGACGAGGAGGAGGAGGCTGGAGGAGGAGGAGGAGGAGGAGGAGGAGGAGGAGGAGGAGGAGGAGGAGGCGGCTGGAGGAGGAGGAGGAGGAGGAGGAGGAGGAGGAGGAGGAGGAGGAGGAGGAGGAGGAGGAGGATGGGGTCTTGCAGGCGCAAACGGGGTCTTCCTCACTGACCCGCCGCCGCGCGGCGTCGAGGGCGCACGGCCCAAAGGGCCAGCTGCAGCGCACAGCCGCCGCTCCGAAACGGCCGAGCGCCTCAGCCCGAATTGGCAGCAGACGCCGGGAGGCTCGGGAGGATCCACTGACGTGTCGGTACACGGAGCCCTGTCTCCGGCCCTCTCTCTCTCTCGCTTTCTCAGTGTGGCTGTTGTTGTATGTTTTTCTTACGTGTGTGAGTGTGTGTGTGTGTGTTTGTGTGTGTTTTGTTTTTTGTTCTCTCTCTCTCTCTCTCTTCTCCTCGTTGTCTGTATGTCTCTATGGAAAGGCACTATGTATCCCGATCTATCGGGCGCCTAGCCAGCTGTCGCGCGTCGGGTGCGACATCTCGCGTTTTCAAGTTCAGTGGGCCACCAGACCTTTGCATCCGACGGCTGCGCAGAGGCGAACACGAGGGATGGGATGAGGTGGATTCGGACGCTCTCGAAATCCGTACAGGAACGATGGGCACGCCGATCGACACCGCATGTTGTCCAACACAGACGGTGGTCGCAGTTGGGCAGGTGACTTCCGGTGTAGAGTGGACAATGTCTGCGGCGACGCCGCTTGCGTCGGTATCACCCCCCATCTTCCTGCGCGCCCGCGGGGGCGACACCAGGGGAAGGAGGAGGAGGAGGAGGGAGAGGAGGAGGAGGAAGAGGAGGAGGAAGAGGAGGAGGAGCCCTGTCCAGAATGGACAGGAACCCCAGACCCCCGACGTCATGACTCCTTCACAGCGTCGACCCCCCGTGGCCTCGACCCGTTCCCCGGGGACAGGTCGTTTTCCAACGGCCACGGGGCCTGGCGAAGGCATTCAACGACTGAAAACAACAACAGCAGCATCAACAACAACGAAAGCAACTACAACAACAACATCAGCAACAACACCAACAACAACACTCGTCGGGCTTTTGTCCATGATCCGAGGGGGTCTGGAATTGCTGGCGGCCTTCGCACCCATTCTTTCCGTGCCCATGCCTCGAGCAGGAGAGACTGCAACATCGATTTCCAGATTGACATGCTCGCCGAAACTACGAACAAGACGCAGGCCGTTCGCAGATCCGCCGACGCTCCTAGGTGCCGTTTCCGTAGACTCGACGACGATGTCAAGCTTGGGGTAGATTGATCGTTTAGTCGATCCCCTACTCAAGTGGCGATCGTGCCGAGAGTTAGGTCGGGCGTGTCCCCCTGCAGGCGGATTTTGGATGAAACAGTTGAAACAATCCCAAAGTAGTCCAAACTATTCAAAGAAACGTTCCCATACTGTTTTTCAAAAGATATGTTTTAAGATTCCTCCTGCAGGGGGGCGCGCCCGACTTAAGCCGAGAGGTGCTGAGGGGGAACCGGGCCCTTCGCCCTGGAATCGGCGATGCATCGCCGCTACATCGGCGATGGGCCCCCGGTTGCGAGACCGCGCCTTTTTCTGGGCGGGCTGGGCCCATCGGGCCCCTCTCGGCGATCCTCCTCCCTCCTGCCTCCTCCCTCATCCCTCCTCCCTCCTCCTTCCTCCCTTCTCCCTTCTCCCTCCTCTCACCTCCCTCCTCCCTCCTCCCTCCCTCCTCCCTCCTCCCTCCTCCCTCCTCCCTATCCATGGGCGATTGGTGGTCGAGGCGTTCCCCCCCCCGTACTGTAAGTTCGTGCGGCGTCGGCGCGCGCAAAGCTCTTTGACACCGCGGCGATCGTTCAGCCTTGAATCGATCGCGGCCCCGATCATTAAAGGACGCATTCCGTCGGGTCCAGTGGCGTCACCGTGCGCCTCAGTGCTTCCGCGTCGTTCTAGCATGCGGCCTGCAACTTCGGAAGCCTTCGCCGGCATCGCCGGTGCGCGATCGCCGCATGAACCTGCCGAATGCCTATCTCGGAGGGGGGGGCGTTAACGAGACCAAACGGGGGGGGCGTCAACGAGACCGGAGGAGGAGGAGGAGGAGGAGGAGGAGGAGGAGGAGGAGGAGGAGGAGGAGGAGGAGGAGGAGGAGGAGGAGGGGGACGAGGAGGAGGAGGCGCAGCGTCGAATTGGGGAGAGATCCCGAGACTCCACTACTCAATGGACGCCAGCTCGGTGGCCAGCAGGGCGGCTCGAGTCCTCTCCAAGTCCATTTCTGGGACACCGACCTGGACAAGCTGCCGGTCAGCATGCTGGATGCGATGGAAATGGTAGCATCATGTCGAATGTTTAAACCCAACCAGGAGGAGGAGGAGGAGGAGGAGGAGGAGGAGGGAGGAGGGAGGAGGAGGAGGAGGAGGAGGAGGACGAGGAGGAGGAGCAGAACGAGGAGGAGGAGGAAGAGGAAGAAAAGGAGGAGGAGGAGGAGGAGCAGGAGCAGGAGCAGGAGGAGGCGGAGAACGCGCCCGCCGCCGCGCGGCCCGACGGGGGGCCGCGGCGTGTCGGGGGGGGGGGGCGCACCGTCCTCGCCCGCACGAGCTCGACGGCCACCTGGAGAACGGGGGCACGAGGACACCAAAGAGCTCTCAAGCTGTGATTGCGCAACTTTTCCGCCCGGCTCTACGGTGGAGGCCAGTGCACCAGAAACCTTCCATCAGAAACCCAACCCTCAGACCCCAGGACGTCCATTCCCCAAACAGTGTTTGCAGCACTCGGGATCCTGACTTCGGTTAACCACTTCGAGACCCTCGCCGCGAAATCGCCGCTGTGCCATCATCCCCGCCTGTGCCGCCCGTCGCCGTCGCCGCATCGCATACATTGCACCGCATATTTTGCATTACGTAGGTTGCATCGCATACACTGCACCACATATATATTGCACCGCGTAGACTGCATTACATATGTTGCATCGCATACAATGCACCGCATAGGTTGCACCGCGTCAAGTACATTACATCGGTTGCACCATCGCATACATTGCACCACACAGATTGTACCGCACATACTGCATTACACAAATTGCATCGCATACACTGCACCACATAAAGTGCGCCACATATATTGTATTACATAGCTTGCACCATCGTGCACATACACACAAATACATTTATACATATATATATACAAGTGGCACGTGTGTGCCCAGGCTCATACAACAAGCTGAAGGGGCGTTTGAAGCAGGAGTGACATGCAACAGCGAAGTCGCACTCGAGCGCAAGTGAGGTTGCCACACCTTGCGATGTGTGTACCAGGGCCCCCCAGGAAGCCTCAGGAGGCCCGACTTGGATACCAGAAGAGGCTCCAGGAGGCCCCAGGATTGTGAGTGTTGTGTGTGTGTGTGTGTGTGTGATGTGTGCTTTGTGTGGTGCGTGCTTTTTGTGTGTTGTCGGTGTTGTGTGTGTGTATGTTATGTTTGTCTAGCGTGTGATGTGTTGGGCGTGATTTGTGTCTCTGTGTGTGCATGTAGTTCTGAAGCCCCAGGAGGCCCCAGGAGGCCCCAGGCGGCCTCAGCAGGCCCAGGAGAACTCCAGGAGGCTCCGAGGCGGGGTCTGGGGTACCAGGAGGCCCCCAGGAGGCTCCGAGGAGGGGTCTGGGGCTCGATTTGGGAGGATGTCTCAGGCGAAACCGCCATTCTCTGAGAATCGGGGTCAAAATTATTGAAATTACCATGTGTTTTTGAAGGTTTATGTTAAAATGTTGAAATTCCTATGTGTTTTTGGACCTCTCCTTCACGATCTGCGTGAGGGGTGCCACCGATTTTCAGAATTTCGAGGATGTCCCGAGCGAAACGGCCGGGAAAATCGAAGACGCACGCACGCACGGACGCACGGACGCATTAATCCCCTCTGAGCTCTACTCCCTCGGAGAGGTGCGTATGAGAATATATATATACACACCTCCATACTGCACCAGAACAATTGCGCCGCACAGATTGCATTACAATGGCTGCATCGCACGCGTTGTGCCACATCTATTCCGCCGAATAGATTGCAAGAACCTGCTGGTTGGGCCCCGCGCTGGCTAACATGTTTTTGGGGTGGGAACGTCACACTTTCCATCGCAAAACCATCGAAACCCACGAAACCCAGGGCGCCTTGGAGGCAAGCAGGGTGTTTCTCGGCATCCCACTGTAGGATTTGTTTTGCGGCTTCTAGATTCGAGCCTTGGTGGCTACGGTTCGCCGGGTTTCGCTGCCACTGCAGCCCGTGACGGCGCATGATTTTCGCACGAGGTGCTGCAGTTGTGCAGGTACGGCGTGGGCATTGGACAAGAAACCCTTAGATAAGGAATCCAGGGTCAGGAAGCCAGTGGAACTCCAATCGTGGACTGGCCACGGATGACGCTGCCGCCCTCATCAGATAAGGAACCCTCCAGGGTCTGAAGCCCCCTGGGCCCATTCCTTCACGAATGCCCACACCGCGTGCGCGAACGCATAGTTGCGTGAACGCGTTGCGAACCGTAGCCGCCGAGGGAACCGGACCTGCGCGGTTTCCCCCGGGGCCGTAGACGATCCGAGGCGGAGGAGGCGGAGGAGGAGGAGGAGGAGGTGGAGGAGAAGGTGGGGGAGGGGGACGGGGAGGTGGAGGTGGAGGAGGAGGAGGAGGGGGAGGTGGTGGAGATGCAGGAGGACGAGGAGGAAGACGAGGAGGAGGAAGACGAGGAGGAGGAGGGGGAGGAGGAGGAGGAGGTGGAGGAGGAGGAGGAGGGGGAGGGGGGGGGGAGGAGGAGGATGAGGAGGGGGAGGAGGAGGAGGAGGATGGGGGGGGAAGAGGAGATGAAGGAGGAGGAGGAGGATAATGTGGAGGAGGAGGAGTGACCAGAAGTGACCATGAAAGGACGACGTCCGCTAGAAACAAAACGAATTGGGCGTGGACTTATCAGAGGAGGAGCCCCCGCCCTCGCGGCGAGGCAAGCACGTGGGACGGCGGGCGGGGTGGCCGCGGGCCGTCCTTGCATGCGGCGGTTCCTTGATGAAGCCGCCGTGGACGAGAGTGCCGCCAAAGCGGCGACGGGCGGGCCGCGCGCGGGGTCGCGCGCGACCGCTCGCAAGGCCGTCGCTTCCCCTCCCGACTCCGACGGCGACGACATTCCACCACCTCCGCCACCCTGCAACAGACCGCGCTCCCCCAAAGCCTGCTCCGCACTGTGGCAAGCCGCCTCGGCGTATCTGAGCTCTGAGGCGAGCCGAATAGCCTTCGGGGGTCCTCTGTGCGAAGGAAATTGCCCTCGCCTTGTGCGTGCAAGGTTCTGAGCTCCTTTGGGGGAGGCGTCTTGGCACTTGCTAGCGGACCGCCGTCCGTCGACTGCGGCGGTGGACCCGCAGTGCGCGCAAGAATGCAGGGGCAACTCAGGCCAATAAAAGATTTCATGGCAGTGGGCCGAGGTGGCCCCGATTAAAACCTCTCCTGAACGTTTGACAAACTGACTCCAGTCCGCATTCTGGCCACGCGCCACTGAGGTCTGACCTGGGCACTGCTGGGCGCAAAATTTCAAGACCTGTGAAGAGGGAACAATCTGACTGCACAGCTTACAACGCCACCTGGTGCCAACCTGTGAGAAGTGTCACGTTGCGCAGCGGTCTTCCTGGACGGCGAGGCAGCTCTCTGCTTCTCTAGTCTAGTGGCCTGCCAAGGGGCAACCTGGAGCGAGCAAATGCGAGCCCTTCTCGCCCGTCTACGCGCCGGATGGGCAATGCAATCATACGTATCTGTCTTTGGCGCGGGCTGCTGCGCGTAGAACTGCAAAGCTTGCCCCGCCGCTTGGCCCGCGAAGTCATCAGCACACGTATAGCCCGACGTAAGAAAGACTTGCCATTGCGCGAGAGCTCTGCCTGCGCCCTCGAGATGGGGGGCCGTCAACGCGATCTGCACTTCAGCCGAGCCCTGAGAACGGAGAGCCACCGCCACGCGATGCCACAAATCTTGATTCGGGCTTAGCTTGCCGTGGGCTCGACCCGCTCTCCATCCATCGAGAACAGGCTGGCAGTCCGTCACATAAATAATGAGACCCGTGGTTTCTCCCAGAGCGATGGCGAGCGCAGCTATCCCCGCGCGCAGCGCAGTCTGTCGCGGCCCGGGGAGGGGGGCCGAAACGCCGCAGACAGGTTCCCAAGAACCATCGGGCTGCTAACGAATGAGAGCAACTCCAGAACCGCACCGGCGTCGCCTGGGGTCGCTGCTGCGCTGTCCTCCCGAGCCATCGCCAAAGAAATAAGGCGGGCCCTGGCCAGGGCGCGCACGGGCATCGCTGAGGCGAGAGGTGCCGTGATAGGTATTGGGGGGGGGGCTCCAGAGGGTCAAAGAAGTGGGGACAGGTGAAGTTTCTCGAGATGGCACTCCTCTCAGCCATAAAGACGGGTCTGCTTCCCACTGCGCCGCAGCCAGAGTGATCAAGGGGTGACAAAGTCTGGATGGTCCACATTGCATTCGCACTGCCATACTCCACGATACAAGGTCTCGGGGGCCGCTCTACACCTTGGACACGTTACATCTACAGTGTAGCCGCGGTCAACTTGTCTCTGACGCGGCCACTGGCCTCCAGGGGCCACGCAAAGCGTCAGACTCCAGAGGTCGGCCTGCCCCCGAGACTCGAAACGGCGGAGCTCTTGCTGGAGTGGGAGGAGGCCGGCTCCTTCTCGCAGCGTGCAGCCACTCTCGTGCTCCGCAACTCTTTGCCAAATCGTGGCTCGTACATCTTAAACGAATTCCGGGAGCAATTCTGACTGGTCCGACATTGCCAGTACATCGTAATGCGGGTCACCAACTCTCGGAAACCTCCAAGCGTGGTCTGAGTGAGACAGGCGCTCCCAGAGATCAGGCTACTTGGGGTCCCAGCCAGCCTCCAGAAGCGTGGCCCGGACCGCAGCAATTGGGCCTCTAATCCCTTTCCAGCGCCTAGCTCCATGCGAATCGATCTGGGTCCTGAACAGCCCCCAAGAGCGACGGATGCGGGGCTGGAGGGCAGGAAAACGCTTCCACGGCAGGAGCCAGGAGTCCACGAACTGGCGACGGACCTCCAAAGCAGGGTCTCCGTCACCCAACACAGCCTGGATCACCATGGTTAAACGCTTACCTTTTCCCGTGTCAGAGACCGTGCGGGCAGCTGATCGCCTGAGAAGAAGGACCTGGCCCGGTGGCATGCCCAGCACCTGATGGCCGTAGCTGGCCTGAGGCAACGCACCCGTGCGCCAAGCGCCCTGGGTAATTTTCCTCAAGCCAGCCAAACGCCTCATCTTGACAATGCGGGATGATCTACCGGTGGCTGTGGCCATCCTCTGGCGAGCTTTCCTACGAGACCTGAAACGACCAGCCGCGGTATCAATGCCTAAATCAACGCCTGTGGGAGCATGCTTGGCGGGCATCCCTCGGGCTCTAAAAAGACTAGCAACTTGCTTCCCAAACTCAGGAGACGAGGCCGAAACAACCGTCTTATCATAAACAATTAAACGCTTAAGTCTGAAACCCTCCGAAGACGCTTCCGCAAGTTCATGCATCTCCTCAACTACGGCCTCACGGGTGCCCTCGGAACGTCCAGCCGCGTCGCCGACGAAGGT